GTGTGCCAACTACTCGGTGACAGTAAACCCAAATATTATTATGCATCAACACCCTTTGCCGCCTATACAGGTTTGGTTTGAATTGAATCAAACTTGCTTAATTATGGCAAAAAATTACTTAATTATGGCAAAAAATTACTTAATTATGGCAACGCACAGTAGGGCTATCTGCCTTAGGAAAGGGATGCCTTCATGGAGGACTTTCTAAGGGAAACTGGCTCGTATACACGTTACACATGGGGAAAATCACGAAAACACCCATGCAGCCAGCCCGTTCGCGCCGACTATAGAGGAAATATTTTCATGTTTGAGCGGGAGAAAGCATTTAAAAAAAATAATTTAAAAAAAAAATACTTATTTACAAATGAAAGTACACCCTGAGACTCAAAAACTTCTAATAATGTAATAAACACACAGAAGGGATTACATAAGTATAAGAGATTAATGTTCGGGCTAAATGCAGCACCGGCAATCTGGCAACGTCACATAGACGGACTATTCCAAGAAATGGAAGGGTGTAAAGTCTTCATGGATGATGCGCGAATAACAGGGTCTGATGATGAGGCACATTTAAATAATTAAAAAAATTTCTTCGAGAAATGTAAAACTCAGTGAAATTAAATTTAGAGAAAAGAAAATTTTTTCAGGATGAGCTACAATTTTTAGGTCATATATTTGATGCTAATGGTTTACATGAGACTGATGAAAAAATATCAGCAACTGCAAAAGTCCCAAGACCCAAAAATGTCCAGGAAGTTCAAATGTTTTTGAGACTGGTTAATTTTTATGGAAAATTTTCCTTAAATTAACGACAATCGCAAATTCCTTATACCAATTCACTAAGAAAAACACAAAATGGATTTGGACGAAGGATTGTCAGGAGGCTTTTTTAAACATTAAAAAAGAATTGTGTTCACAAAATGCTTTGATGCATTATAATACAAAATTACCTTTAACACTGGCAACTGATGCATCACCAGTGGGGTTAGGTTAGGTACTTTATCACAAACTTCCTGATGGAACAGAAAAGGCGATTGCATATGCTTCTAGAACACTGACTGAAAGGGAGAAAAAAATATTCTCAAACCGATAAAGAAGCCTTGTCAATCATTTGGGGAACTAAAAAAATTCTGTAATAAAAAAGCAGGAAATTTACTCGGCTCGAAGAAAAGCATGCCAGTTTGGGCAGCAACAAGACTTCTGCATTACGCTTTGGCTTTAGAGTCATTCCAATCTGACATTATTTATCGTAAAACAAACGACCATGGTAATGCTGATTTTCTGTCACGATTACCAACGAACTCAGAGCTATTGTCTGTACAGAATGATGTAACTATTTTTCAATTACAACATATTGAAACTCTTCCAATCACGCCCAGAGATTTGGCTAAAAAACTGAAATAGATGCAGAACTCAGGCCTCTGCTACGAATACTTCAAAGCGGCGTTGAATTGAAAGGAAGGGAAATGGAGTGCAATCTCCAAGATGGCTGTATAATGAATGTATGGTCAACGCGTTTGTATTCGAAAACGATACCGTGAGAATGTTTTGAAAGAGTTGCACAACGGACACTTACGGGCTGTAAAGATGAAAGCAACTGCTAGATCTTACTTGATTTGGAATGGTATAGATGAAGATATCGAAACTATTGCTAAAAACTGTTCTGAATCTGCAAAAAATAAAATAGATCTTTCTAAGGTAAAAGTTCATCATTGGGAGTACCCGAGCGCTCCAATGGAACATATTCATATTGATTATGCAGGAACTATTTTTGAACATATGTTTCTGATAATCGTCGATGCTCAGTAAAAATGACTAGATGCTTATCCAATGAAATCAAGCTCAACTTTCAAAACAATAGAATGTTTACGGGACGTTTTTGCACGATTCGGATTACCAATATTGTTAGTTAGTGATAAAGGGGCCACAATTCACTTCACATGAGTTTAAGATATTTCTACATTTAAATCATCTAGTAATGGGCAGGCTGAACGGTATGTGTTTACAGTAGAACAATCTTTAAGAACAATGCAAAATTATCCGGGAACTTTGAGACAAAAACTCAGTACATTTTTGATGCAAGATAGAAAAGCTCCAAATTTAACTACTCTGCAGAGCCCTGCAGTGCTAATGCTGAAGAGGGAAATTCGAACAAGAATAGATTTATTGAGACCAGATCCCAAAAGGAGGGTGGAAGACTGAGTTCGAAAAGGAACCTATGAGTTTGCAGACCGAGGATTTAGATTTGGCGATAGAGTGGCAGTAAGGCATAAGGTGACAGACAATGGAGATTTGGAACCATTCAATCTAGCGATGGGAAATTTCATTACACTATAAATGTAGATGGTCAGCTATGGCGACGACATGTTGATCAGATGCGTGATGGAGGAACCATAATTGATGACGGCTGCATACATCCACCTCCAATTCTCGTGATTTCCAAACAGCCTGCTAAGAGATGAGTTCCAGAACCATCCAAGGTAACAGCCACCAGGTAAATGAGTCTGTGTCGTCTTCCAAGCCCAAGGTTTTACCATATGTGCTATCCACCGGACCTGCTCCTGATACAATCAAGTTACCAAAGAAACCTGCTGTGCCACACAATCTTTGCGTCGGTCCAGTAGAATTCGACGTCCTCTAGATAGACTGCAGTTGTGATAAAGGGGAAGGGATGTGATGTATCGAGAATTTAATCATAATCGTACTTAAAGCTGGCGCAGCGCCAATTATCGCAAGCGAAGTTACTGGAAACCATAACTAAAACTGGAATAGGAGTAGTTATAGTGATACGTGTGTAAGCGAGGATGATGTGTTTGTACATAATAAAGTAGCATGTAATTAAATACAGTGTCTTGTGAAATAATTACCCACAAAGATATACAGCAGAGTTCATGAGATAAGCCATAGTATTTGAGGTAGATTGGTGGAATACTCTGATATTAGGTTAATTAATATCAATTTCAAACTCGAGTAAATATTTGTTATGCTACATTGTTCCCTGAATTATTATCTAACACAAACAATATGGTCTGTATTTTCTGAAATGTGCACTATGAATCGTCTACGTGTGTTATCTCAAAAGAGTTTATAATTATAACTGTATGCATCTTCAGTGCGATTTCTATTTGAACTTTGTACAACTCAAATAATATATTGGGTCTGTTTCATTTTTACGAATTTCTGATCAAGAAACATAACAAACGCTCGTCAATTGGAGCTACATGTCCTACATCCTAAAATGGCAGCTTTTGCTTTTTGCTACATCGGTGGCACATTTTGCGTGATTGCTATCATAAACTCCATAGAGCAAGGCTTTCAAAAGTGTGGGTAAATAACATTTCATTAACAAACGCATTGCATTATGTCTTTAATGTCAATAAATCGTTTTTATTGCGTATTTTACGAACATTTTAATAATCAGTACATCACCCGTGACAGCTACTTTTACAGATATAATGAGTAGCTATTACTGATGATATCGAAATGTAATTTTTATTAAAAAAATGCTGGTAATACCGAAAACTATGTAAAATTGATAAAGTTAAATTACGTGCATGCTTAGGCAAACATTGAAAGGAAACTCTCGAAATGCAAAACCACATTTATGAGAAAGCAGAACTCATCAAAAATGAAAGATGCAGAAGTTATGCCTATATTTTGGCAATATATGTTGCTGGAACATCACACTGCTTTAAGAATGGAAATAGCACAGAATTTCACAGCTTACGTCGGCAAAACACTCACTTGCTAAGCCAAATTACAGGACAGGATGAAAAGTGGTGCTTTGTTCGCCCTATATCGTCATGCGGGCTACGTGAAAGTCGCAAAATTGTCTGAGCAATCAGAAATTCCAAGAAAATCGCTTAGAAGATCATGGTAGAAATTTTTTGACACCATGCATATTGCTCATTTTGAATTTATCCCTGAGAGAAGCATTCATTTATCCATGAGACATCTGTGCCGCAAGAAGAGGCCTCAACTTTCGACCAACTTTGAAATCGTTATTGCTAGTATGCCATAATGCTCTTTTTTGAGCATTTCTTGGCAAAATAAGAACTCTTGTCCCATGCCCTCTACCGTTTTATTTTGATTTAGTATCCCGTATGTTCTACTTAAATCTTGAGCTGGCACATCGAACTAAAGATCATTTGCTTTTTCCATTGCGGAAGAGTTGAAATAGGATACACTGGTTGAACTGAAGGACACCTCGAAGAATGGGTTTCAGAAACACTTTACAGACCTAGGAAGAGTTGAGAGAAATGTGCTGTCGTGTAATAAGTTGTGGTGTCGTTCAGTGTAATAAATCTAATCACTAACAATTCTACTTCATTTAAGTGAGAATATTTATAGAATTAGGCTTATTTAAAAATGTATACGAAGGTGGATATGTTTCATGTATTTGTATATTATCATATAAAGAAATGGGAAGTGAGGAATCTTAAAAAAATTATTTTGAGGTAGCCCGGACTTGAAAATGACTTTTAGAAAGCAAAAGCCGGCAGATTAGATTAGATATTCTATTATAATTATAATTATAACAGTCAGAACTAAATCTAATTCTGACTATTATAATTATAATACAGCATATGAGCGGAATGCCTTAATTTCTTAAACTCTCTCCTTTTGACTATGACTTTTATCATTTTGACTGCGACTGAGAAGAGGTGGGACGAAACCTAATTGATTAATTTAAGCTGGCGACAAATTATTATGCAATATTTTAATTCGTTTGTTAGACCAGTAGAAGAAAGAGGTTCGGAAGGTAAGGATTCTGCAATATTTTACTGTGCTCCCTCGCGGAGTTAAAATGGAACTTTTGAATATTTAACTCAGAGTTCTGATCATCATAATATAATTTATACAGGAGAATTGCCTTATCACATATTTCGTATTTATACAAATATTAGGATTAATGAATATTACTTGTATTAAACTATTTAAATTAATTGCAACATTTTTACTATAATTCAACATCATGTTTCATAATATACGTATTTTACCTTCACAAGTGGTTCCATCAGGCATCAGTTTGTAACCGTCATCACAGTCACATCGAAAGCTTCCTGCCACATTCACACATTTGGTCATGCATCCACCTTTTCTATCGGCACATTCGTCAATATCTGTAAATTGTACCAAAGAATAACTTCTAGCTTGACATATGAATATAAAATATAGTATTCTCATGAAATATAAAATAAATATGAAAAATCTGCGATATAATTACAGTACCTTCACAACTGGTGTGCTGAGATGTTTGTTTGTATCCATCATTGCATGTACATTGGTATGAGCCCATCATATTTTCACACACTCCGTTCGAACAAATACCACTTGTTCGACTACATTCATCCACATCTATCGAAGTGCAGAAGTATTCGAAAATTTATCATTGGGAAGGGAAAAAGAAAGAAAGAAAAAAAAAAAAAGAAAAGAAATAAATAAACGACAAAAAAAAATTAAATAGTAAGATAAACTGAGACAATCTAATACAAATTAAAAAGATCAATAAGAAAAATAAAAAATGAAACGTTTTCCACATGAAAATGTCATGTGATGTCAACAACACAAGATAATAAACGAATTTTTAATTACATAAATCTTAAAATTTTGTGCCTTGTATTTGTTTAACAACTATAAAAATTTTATACCTTTAAAAAATTAGTGATGTTTTCGTTGGCTTTAATGTTAAAGAAGAGAAGAAAACTTTGAGTATGCACTTACAAAATGAGAAGTTTTCAGAGGGCTTTTTAATGTCTTTCAGAGGGCTTTTTATGTCTCTTACGTATCATTAATTTTTAGAAAATGAATATGCCACCAGTTTAAATTAAAGAGATTAAATAATTCTCTTTACAAAATTCATCTACAGTTTCCTATCATAAACAATAAAAGCTTGGACACCTAAATAATGAAATCTAATAATTAAACTGCAGTATCAAAGTACAAGCCATGATCTTTATAAATTTATCAAGAGAGGCCCACGTTTTTATTACTTGTGAAGCACAACTGTAAATGAATTTTGCAAAGAAAATGATTTAATCTCTTGTTCCCATTAAACTATATGATAAAATATTTATCTCGTTTTAGTTCTTTAATTATTATATTATGAGACTTAAATGAAAGCTTTTTTATGCAAATTTACTTAGTTTTAAACTTTTTCCCATATTTACAAATACACACTCACATATTCATAGCATTACAACTGTGACGGAAAGCAACAACAGATTACACACTAACTGAATAGAGGTAAGTGTTGAAAAACAGAAAATTTGCTAATAATGTTAGATTAAGAATGGGGAAATTCATATATTTCTCCCCATTGGTTAAGTAAGCGTTTTGATATAATTATAATTGAAAAAACATATTCACCTTAGTCATTATGTAAGTGTATGACTCATTTGCGTTAAATAATAATCATGCGAAAGGGATTAGTTTTGATATAATGCATTTCAAAAATATTTTTTATAAGCCCTTTACTATTTTTACTCTAGAAAGTAAAAGTAGTTACGTTAAAAAGGATACCTTAGGGGGTTAATAAAATCATAAATTTATCTTATATACACCAGCATGCATATTATTAAAAATGAGGAAATAGCAATTTGGCCGATAATCTTTGTTACTGACTTTATCAATGATATCAAAACAGAATACAGAACCATAATCATTTTTCGAGGATGCTGCTTACGTCGTATATCAAAAAGGTTAAAGAAAAATCCTTAAAATAGTAATAATAATGATAATTTAAATATAATATTTAAAAAAAATTCGAAGCAACCATTTGAACAAACAGTTTAACTTCAGTAAGCTTAAACTGAAAAATTATAATTTACCAAAAATTCGATTTATTGAAAAACGCTAACATTAACGTCAAACTTCACATTTTTATGTTCAATTCAACGTATCGAAATCTTAGTAATCAAAATTCTATAATATGTATTGGGCATAAAAAGTTTAGTAAATAAAATGGTCTTTGTTTTCTGCAAAAATTACTTAAAAAGCTAAGCATACATTTTCACGCTTTCAACTCTAGAAAGAGATTGACAGAAAAATTCAAACCTTTGCAAGCTCTTCCATCAGGAGTGAGTTCGTGGCCAGGAGGACAGTCACATCTGAAAGAGCCTGGGGTATTGAGGCACGATCCACCTCGACACAGTCCTCTGATCCTAGTACATTCATTGATATCTAAATGTGTGGGGAAAATGACCATATATGAGTACAGACGTTTTATTAAGAACTTTTCTGATAATAATAAAATATCTCAGGGAAGATATTTTAAAACTTAGTTGTCCTCTTAATGCACATTCTTTCCACACTATCGATAAGAAATATTCTACGTTCTCAGAAATATCTACCAATTATTTCTTAAAGTTGCTTCTATTTAAATGCTTATGTAAAACGATCTAAACAGACGTGATATTCTGTTATGGCAGCTTTATATTTTACTTACACTTTTTAAACAACGCTACGCGTGTGCTTTCTTTCGCAATCAACATCCACAAGCCAGAATGCGGAAATAATGCTTAAAATACTGCGATATAATGTGGAACACGATTTTTATTTTAATTCATTTCAAAGAATTTTGTAATTTAATTCAAGGTCTTCTCACCTATACACATTTGCATCATCATAACATCCTCGTATCCGTCGTTGCAATCACAGCGGAAAGAACCAGGAATATTTCTGCAAGTACCGTTGGCACAAATATCGTGTGTTATGGCACACTCGTTGATATCTGAAATAAATAAAGATTTTTGCATTAGAATAAGTTAACTCTATTATAAAAGACTAATAACCAACTGTGTGCAATTACTTATTAAGGAAAACTATAAATTCTCTAAAGAGAAGTAAAAACTTCTCATGTAGCACAAGTGTACAATATGAGGTTTATAGAGGTAAACAAAAACCATTAAATACAAACACACACACACACACACAAAAAAAAAAAAAAAAATCAAGGGAAAAGGAAATACAAGTCAACACGAGAGAAGTAATGGACCCCTTGTTAATTTTTGTTTTTCTTCCTTAAAAATTTGTTTGTTTAGTTTTTGAAATATTTGCTTGTTTTACTCACTTCTGTATGCTTCGTGTTGTATGCTTATGGTGCACAAGTAATTTTTCTTTGTACAATCAGTAGTCTATTTATAAAGTTATAAATGGTTTATATTTATAGTCCCATTTATAGTTATGATTGTGGTACCGTATAGTTGAAAGCTTGTGTTAAAAAAAACAACAACAACTTTGAACCAACCCACAAATAATTTGCTCATAACCGAGTGTCTGTCCGCAATTCTCAGTTTAGCGCCAGTGCTTGACATGATGTAGAAACACATTTAAGTTGAAAATATTTAGATGTTTGTCCTTGTTGTAAATACTGCTTTAAGGTGTGCAGTGCTCTTGAAAATAGTATTGTAACGCTTTACAGAATTTATATTAATTAACAGTTGCAACAAAACTATTTCAGAGCAAACTGCAGTATATTTCATAAACTAAGACTCTAGTTTCAGATAACCTGTTAAATTTACCTCTCCACCTACGAAGATGTTCACACATACGTATATTCGCATATGAATACAGACATAAGAATAAAATTTGTTCGTGTGTATTACTGTGACCTCTTAAAAATAGCTAGTGATTAATAATTATTTTGAAAAGCTGTAGGTATCTGCACCAAATGAAATTTCTTTGCAAACCCTGAATGATGAAGAGTTTACAAAATATAATAAACGATAGTAATGAAAATTACATTGCCCCTTCTATTGACATCTCATGTCGAACCTGTCGAAACTTCAGTGTATGGTTTTGAAATTTACAATTAAAATTTACGAATTGTTTTTAGAATTAGTTTATTTTCTTATTTTCTATCTTAAAGTAAAAGCCTAAGCCTGACAGGCGGTCATCTATAAATATTACTAAGTTAAAATAAAAGGGTAATTTAACTCTTCTTTGGACTTCACTATTATTGTAGTTTTCAGAAGACCAGTTAATACTCTTCTAATTGTTAAGAAAATTAATTTAATTATAACTCTATAAAGTTAATGAAAATTAAGCTTACAACATTAGATATACAATCTTCAAATAGGGTGTTGTTGAGTTCTAGTGTGTCTGAGTTATTAAAAATGTGGCCTTTTGGTTAGTAAGCAGTTGGCTGAAAATATGCTCAATTTGTACACACACTTTCACGCATTACAATCCTAGAGCAGGAACAAGAAACAGTTTATGGAAAGCAAAATGTTTAAAAGATTTTCATGAAAATGTAAATGGCAAGTTTAAAAATATTGTTAAAAATTTTGCATATATGTAACCAATTTTAGCGAAACTATATGTAAAATCGTATTACCTCTTACATCATGTAACAGCAAATATCTCAAGAGACGGAGCTCGGTCAGAAAAATAGGATTACAGGGGCAGTCTACTTAACATTGAAGTAAAGGGCTGAAATGGCCAGATTTTTTTGGGCGACTAATTTTTGTCTCCAAATTTGGCGAGAACTTGCCAAAAGTCGCCAGACTTGGCGACTTAGACGGCACAGCATAATTGTAAATGACAGTGTACTTGATCGCTATATTTAACTGTAACCGTATCTGGTCTTTATATGTAACTTAAACTTATATGCCTTTCAGTAATTTCGAGAAATAGAAGGTACTGGAAATATCTTAGCGGACGGAGGAAAACTATTTGAAACGGAAAGAGCACAGTTCTCAGTTGAGTGCTATAGACGGTACCAGACGCGTTACGACTCTAGCTCCTACAGAGGCAAAGTGCCTCCTCTCTTATTTTCACCATCCAAGACCTCTTACGAGGGACACATTTCATGTACCATTCATTCTAAGGCTCCGTAAGGAGCTCTGTAACTGCTCTGGGATGTACTACTTAGACGGCACAGCAGTATTGCTATTCTCATTTTCTAGTTCGGAGTATTGAAAGATCTCCGTGTGAGCTTCGCTTTTTACGTGCACTTTACAGTGCAGTTGTGTTTAATATTCTTAGTAGTTAAAAAGCGGTAACTACCGATTGTGTTCTGTCATACTGACAAGAGCTGTATGAGTACTTTTGTAGAAAATTCCCGAAATATAGTGGAAATTTAGGGAAAATCAAGTTTTACCAAGCTACCTTTGCTTCTGTGCGCATTCCATCTATTTCGAACCCGCATTCACCTAACAAAATAAATGCGAATAATTTTTCGCTTAACTATTTTTCCTTCCGCATGCCTGGAATGAGATGAGATATGAACTAAATAGTGACGGCATGAAATCTGTACAAGAAAAATTCCTACTTTTATAACAAGAAAATGTGAAATTAAATATTTAATTTGATGATCGTAAAAGTTGATCATATTGTTAGATTTAGAATTTAAAATCTTAGCAAAGTCGTAAAAGACCTTAATGACCATTACTTAAAATATAGCAGGGAAAATGTAGAGTACCTTATGTTAATTAACCAGTTATTAGGATTTCAATCTTTATTATAACTTCTCCTTTCCGTATTCCTCACCAGAAGAGGTGTTTGGATCTTAAAAGAACGAATTTCCATCATTCAGACGCAAAGTGGTAAGTTTCTGCCAGCTCTGGCAGGTGCATTATTCAGCTTTGGGATCTCTCGCCGCCGGTATTTTAAATCTATAACGCCGGTAAATTATTCAGCGAGCTTCTAACTTAGTACTTAATTATGTAGTCTTTAACTACTCTTTAACGTGTAATTTAAATTAATTTGTTTTCATCATCACGAGCTGTGGTTATTGTAGAACAAGATCGCGCACTTATGTTCGAAGTTCTGTTTAAATAAAATGGTTGAGTGTATTAAGTAAATATACTCAACCATTTTATTTAAACCATTGATATATATAATATCAACCATTGATATATATAAATAAAATGGTTAGTAAGACTCACGTATATCTCAGATATACCGATAACTCTTTTAACGTCTGTTATGGTTATGAGACTACACTAGCATTACCAGTAAAAAGATAGATTTTGAATAGTTGTACGATCTGCGGCAGAAGTATGTGACGACGAAAGGACAGTATTTAGAATGTGGATGCGCTTAAGCTCATTCATGTTAACACATGTTGCAATAAAGCAATACTCCCAAAACATACTGGAGTAACTAACAACTTTAAGAGTAATAAAAAAATTCTAATTGAAATTTTATTCAAGTATTTATTTTCCTAAAGTCTGAAGTTAAAAATAAAACATTAAAGAGTAACAAAAGGCAAGTTTTAGTTCATTGTATTGTTTTGAACTTCCTTAAATATGTCCCAAATCTCTTTTGTTTCTTAGTATCTCTTCCCTCAACTGCCGTAATTATAAACTATTGTCTCCTAGTTTCAAAAGTTTGACATATGTAGCGCTTTATCACTGCTCAGCTGAAAAGATGCAGTTTACACATCATTTAGACCACCATATGCTAATTTTTCTGTGCTTTCAATTCAGTATTTTAGCTATTTTATGAAAGCTAACGCAGTTCACTTCGTAAGCTAAGAAACTAATACAGTTCAGAATAGATGGAACACATTTTACTCGAGGCTCAAATCGAGTTTGTACTATATATTATGAATGGGCGAGATATCTGCCACTACATTTTAAAAATAATCTTAAGAAGCAAACGCTATTCTATCCTCATAATAAGTGACTAATTTAAATCTCTCGAAGCTTACATCGTTAATAAGCTCCCATATCACACTAGCTTGTAAAATCTCTAAATTTAAAGTGGGTAATCTGAGAGCATTTAAACCTCGTTGAAACTCTTTCATGAACGATAAAGAGGTTTATTTAAATAAAGAGGTTAAAGATTCTCTGAAAGAGTTTACGCTATAATGAGCTTAACCTTCGAGTGTCTAGCATCTAAGCTAAATTGAGTTTACTAGAGAGCAGGTTGCTTTATTTCGGAAGCGACACGTGCTCATGTCTCAGTTTCCTGGGAAAACGACCTGGCAGTTTTATAAATTTTGGAAGAATTACCTCGATGTGATAATCCACGTCATAAAGCTTCATAATAAATTGCTTTATTATAATGTTACGGCTTTTACAGTAGTATTAGTTAATATATTAATTGGGGATGTAGTCTAAATGAAATTTTAGATTGAATGTGAAGAGAAAATAAGCTTGACAATAATCATCATTCACAGAACTGTGGCGCTTAAAGTAACACTTAAAAGAAGGATTATCTTTAACATGGCAGAGCTGTCTTTATTTACTAAGCAATTTACAAGCAATACGCAAATTTACTAAGCCAATGGGAACAATATACAATACGTAAATCCGTTTTTTAATTAAAATAAGTACTAATTATCTCACTGAATTTTGTCTAATTTTAAAGCTCAAGTTGGCATGTATGTCATGTTTGACATTTAGAATCATTATATTAAAAAATTTGCCTTCATCTAACTAAACCTAAGCCATATTATTTATTGCTGTGATGAATAATTCAATAAAAGGAATTCATAGGAATTTATTCCGAAAGTTTGAAACTTTTTTCTTTTTCTTATATTAGTACATACCAGTTGTCGTGAAACTCTGTTCCGTGGAACACTCAGGTGAACGTTTCTGAGAGTTTCTCAAGCCGAAATCAAAACTTGGAATAATTTTTGAATACATTGCAAAACTAAACACTTACAACAATTCGATTCAATAATAAATTTTTAGTTTTTATTGCTAATATTACCTAAAATAATATGAAACAAATCTACTTTTATGAGCAAACTTATTATAAAATAATGATTTTCTTCTCAATATTTCCCATAAAGAACAAGTAAAATTGATATATTTTCAATGCTCTTTTTAACATTACTTTTCTGAGTATGATAGGGGCTCCAGAAACAAAGCTTATAGTTTTATGAGCTCCTTGAGCCGATAAAGTTTTAAGATAATTAAAAAGTGCTAAAACAATGAATAATATTTAAATTCCATTAAGAATGGTTTCTCACCCACCAGTACAGTTCAAACCGTCCGCATCTGGAGCAAATCCTGGATTGCAGTTGCAAGTAAAGGTTCCTATTGCGTTTCTACACCTTCCATTCTGGCAAATAGACGGAAACTGCACACATTCGTTGATATCTGAAGACACAATAAAAAACGTTTTACACATTTATGCAAACTAACAAGTGCATATATTGAATAATTAAACTATCTGAAGATATTTTATTTGTTTTATTATCATTGGAAGAATTTAGAAGCCTTAAATAAAGAAATAAAATGCTTTCTTGTTAACCTCAATTGATGTAACATTACATCATTGAGATGGTATTCCCTCTTTATTTCTCTGACGCGTTGTGAAAGTGAACAATGCAGTGTGGATGGCTTATTTTAGGAGTCAACCAAAGGATCCACCTTTTCTGTTCGGGATCAAATTCCTCAGATTTTTGGAGTGCTCATTCTGCGGAAAAGTTTCGGCTGTTGAATCTTCAGAAACAGAGTAATCAGTCTCTATTTTCTGTTCTCTTGTTCCAGTTCCTCAATAAAGCAGTTATCCTATTTTAGCAGACATATGTAGAAATGCTTACTGGGTTTCACCCGAAAGGCTCTAAGCGGGTCAGTTATTGAGCGCAGATTTTCCACGGTATGATACCCTCCTGCAGAATCTTTACATAAGACTATATATATTGAACCGGAAACTAGCAGTAAAGAGTCACCGGAGACTAGCAGTGGAGATCCATCTAACTACTGATTTCGGTTGATTTCACTCATTAAGCGCGATTTCAGTGGAGATTCCCAATTATAATTTCTTAACTGAAGTCTTCACACAAGTATCATCCGAGTATTGCGCAATTCTCAAATGTGACAACTCGGGACATAATAGTAAATTCACATACACTGAAAGCAATTATTTTTTTTAGATTGCTGTCACCTTTTGCTGAAATTAAATTCCTACGTCTCTGCTGTTAACAATTTTAAGTTTATAAGTAATTAAAGTACTGTAATTATTAAAAGTTTTTTGTTAGTTTTAGTCACGACTTTAATCTCTGCATATAATAAAAGAAAGAGTGTGTTTGTGTGTGTCTTTCGTTCGTGCTGCGCGTAAGCTAATAGACCCAGGGATACGAAATTTGGTACATAGGCGCATCTAGAGAAGAAAGAATCAGTGCACCTCGAAGCGATTTTTTCAAAATTCGAATCAGATTTTTTTATTTTATCTTTTTTGATGAAATAGCATCATTTTGAATAGTTTCATTCCTTTAGAAATGTGGTTTTGGAAACAGTTTTTCGATCAATACTTGTATGCTGGACTACTGACTGTTGAAAATATGAGATAAAATGCTGCTTATTTTCTTTTGATTTTTGGACACGCGACACGCACATCGCAATGTTTTTATTCTTACGCGCATGTGTCTCGCGAGGCACAATAGAAAAAATTTCCCTTTCTTTTCTTCTCTCTCTTTATTAGCTAATAACAAAGAGGGTTATATATTTTGAATTATGTCATTCACAAAGCACAATTTTGTTTTGTTATTGCTTTCTGATGATAGTTTCATTCTTTCAGAATGTGGATTTGGCAAAATGTTTTCATTCCTTTCTTTGGATACCGGACTGCTGACTGTTTTCTCTTAAAAATATGAGATTTATTGCTTATTTCATTGTAATTTTTTATATTATGTTTTAAATTATTTAACATTTTAATTTTATAAAAAGTTTTGCGTAATTTGGTTTAGGAAACAAAGTTGGAACTTAACTTCCTTAATACCGTTTGAATTCTTAAGATTTTGTATGTACCGGAAAAATCTTAAGATTTTCTTAAGAAACTTTCTTTTACATTAATTTATTTATTAGGATAATTAATATTTGTATTAAGGGATATTGTTTATTTCATTGTAATTTTTTAATACGTGATACAATTTTATCGATTTTTTTTATACAGTTGTTCTGCAGGGTAAAATCTGTGCGGGTTTTAAATTTAATGTTTGATATTCCCTTTAGGCATTTTCCCGGTACATTTAAAAGCCAGACGAAGGCTGGCCGCGTAGCGGCTAGTATGAAATAAATCGCTATTTATTTTACAATTTTGTAGTTTATAACTTTAATTATTGGGTTAGCTGACTCACTGCATTGTAATAAAAAGTACTCGGCTGTTTAAAATAAGTTTTGTTAATTAAATTTTAACGATTGAAATACTTAGATTAATAGAAAAATAAGGAATCTTTATATGCAAATTTATCTCCTTAAATTTACAAGCAAACAGTCCTACAATCGGGACACAATTATTATTTCTACAGCAGTTTATTTAGGTTAGTCTGATAATCATTCCTGAGAAAGTTTGCATAGTAAATAGATGTAAAGTGCATCACGAAATCCCAGGGAGCAGAACTTCCTTAAATTTCCATTGTACTCTATTGGAAAATAAACTCTTTAATTCACATATCGATTTTATTTCTGTCACTTAGCCTCCCGATGCAGGAAGCAATTAGTCTGTTGCTAATTAAATCGTGTTTGCCGCTTGGAAGCCGAAGTATCTAACAAATAATCAGAATTCCATCTGAGCAGGCTGGAGTTTAGTTGAGTGGCTTGCACATGGGATTGGTAAGCAAGTTAATTAATTTCAGTTTTAAAATTTAAAAGATGGTTATTGCAGTTATTATTTTTCAATAATGCCGCAGATATTCACGCTAATCTAGAAAAAAGAACTAGTTCTAAGGTCACATATATTTTCCGTCAGGAAACGTATTATGTTAGGTTGTTATATTCATCTAATACTTAAATGTGAACTCAAAGAGGCAGAAAAAAAAAACAATTATTCTTTTAAAGAAACTGGGTAGCCTATTATTCTACTTAACTGCTTCAAGAAAGCTGGCTATAATTGCATGAATATAACTTTGGATATTTTAATTAATTTTGAACATTCGCAATTCTGAGCATTTCACAAGTAGATAGTAAATAATCATATTTATGCCGAGTCTGATCAATAAATAGCCTTTGATGCATCCAGCCGGGAAATTACGAATCAATTGAGATAATGCAATATTTGATTTCCGACCTTGAGACAATTATAAATAATATTACTGCGACCATCATACCACAAACAATATCATTACAAATATTTAACGCACAATACATATCCTTGTATTCTTACTAGAATAATACGCTAATTAAATATATCTAATAAGTAAATTTTTCTTTTAATCTTTCTCGTTTTATAAGGCCCCCAAACATTAATGATTTCTTTAGGTTCGCTGATTGATTAATGAAAGAACAACAGATTGATTCATCATAACGTAAACAACAGCTTTTGTAACCTATGTATTTAATTTCGCACAGCACTTGAAAACAATTAAGGACATTTTTCTTCCTAGAACCTAACATCAGATAAAGTCTTCTTCTGCAGCACCAAGAATGCTATCATTTCCCGATAAGTCAAATTTTTTACCAAAAGTAATATATAAACTGTTACTTTTTCTGGTAGCAGAATAACTTTCTTTCGTCTTTCTAACTTTGAGAAGATACGTTAACGTTACCTTTTATCTCAGAAAAATAAAATATCTAGAGATGTAAAGATGTAATGGGCACATTCAACTAAATCGTCTTATAGAATATTGAGTGTGCAAAAAAGGATATAATTTAATGATGGATGTTATGTTTCCACCTTCCTAACAGTATACCAGTTATCACTCAGAAACTGCAGCAATAATTTCATTTCCAATTTTTCAGGGCATACTTGCGATGACAATGTTTTTAGCATGCATAAAAAATCTCCTAAATGTCATCCTTCATAGACATACAAAAATTTCTGAATTTGCTGTTATCAATAATGCAAGTTGGTCATCGTTTCTGATGCCACACACATCGTTTTGGCTTAATCTGCATTATCACTTTAAAAAAATGTCAAAAATTGACCAACCGATAAGTGCTGGCACTTTTCGGTTGGTCATTGTTTGAATCAGGTGAAAATGTAAGGGCATAAAATGAAAGTAAAAAGCCGTAGATGTAGTATGAACAATTTTCTAAAAGAAGAAATGCACATTTAAAATATATTTTAGCTTATTCAGTTTGAATTTAGAGTTACATATATTGTATAAAAAGGTTTGTTTACCAGTTATAAGTCCAGGTTCAGCTCGACCACGGCCATCATAAGCAAATCCAAATCCTTTCACACAAAGCTCGTTGAAAGCCTCTAAGCAAAAAGCAGAAGAACTGAAACATGCTGACTTTAAGCAACGCTTTTGAACTTAATAATTCAAATAACGTAATTTAAAATACATTAAAAGTGCTTTCCGTAATTTTCTGTTAGCAGAATAACTCTTTCGGTTTTCTAACTTTGAGAAGACGCGTTACCTACCTGTTCCTTGACGTGGACATGGTTCACAAGAATGACCCCAAGCACGGCCTAATGAGCAGCAGCACAGCATCTTTCTATAAAGGCCATCGAAAGGTCTGAGACAACGACCCTTGTCGTACTGCATAAAACAGATTTCTTCCCTTAAATCTAAAAAATAAAAAGCTTCTTTTTTTATACAGTTTCGTGTTAAATTTTTTTGCAAAGAAGAATATACGAAATTTTTACAAAACGCATGTCGTAAAATGTATTTATTTTTTGAAGATAGTTTCAAGAGATTTCAGAACTTGTTAAACAGTTAACAACAATTCTCTTTAGAGCAGCGGTCGCCAACCGGTGGTCAGTGAAAACCTTTTGATGGTCCGCAGTAAAATTGGGACGTTATTTATATTTTCATGAAGATTCAGTTTAAAAAATGACGAGTAACAAAACCTATTATGGAATATATATATCACTATTTTTTAATTTTGGCGGCTAATTATAGCGAAATTCCTTCTGAATTTAGCGACGTTTTAGCTACTTTTGCAGATGTATGTAGCGACATTTGAAAGTGAGAGTTCGCATCCTATGATGCTGTTATCAATAATAGCGCGAACTGAAATTCTCTTTCCTTTTGAATTACAAACATGAGCTATAGCAGTCGTTTATGACACAGATTTTTCTCCGTATCAATAGGAAACTTGATGGATTTTTATGAGAACCATCTGCATTCTTGTTTATAATTGCATCACTGGAAGTTTCCGTTTTTGTTTTGTTTAACTGTTGATCGATGGCGCCCATTGCTGAGTAAACGATGATTATTATGTTTACAGTAATTAAAACTGGCGGCATAACGCTATCAGCTTATTGATATTGCTTTGCGTTTGCCGGTTTGTTCGTACTTTTCGTGAAGTTCCTTTTCAGTGATAATGAAATGAGAAATGTTCTGTACAAGAAGGTAAGATTTCTGTAGTTTTCAAGTAATTTTTCAATGTGAACGAAATATGTGTAGTTTGCTGATTGTTATTGTATAATGTATATATTTACCTTTTTTAATTCATATTAGTGGTTCGACTAATATAAAATTATTATACGTAGAGGTCCGTGAAGTTCTAAGGATAGACGACCACTGCTTTAGAGAATGTTGCTGTTAAAATAATCATACAATACAAACTGTGGTTAACGTTCATAAAGAGTTCAACGTTCAAGTAGTCTTAGAACTCATTATTTGATATTTTTTATCATTTGCCACAATGTAAATAATAGTCTCCAAATAAATGTTTTTTGATTAAGGATTTCTAACGGGGAAATAAACAAAATCGCCTCGTCAAGAGCAGAAAAAATATACAGAATTTTCCAGTGTTAATACATTATAAATTTCTAACATTTGACTATGGTCTTTAATAGTTTCTTAACTACGTCGTTATTTAAGAAAATTTAACAATGACATTCAATTAATAAAAGATAAATATTAGTTTTAGTACGCTAATGAACATTCAGCTACCTCTTACGGAACTTTTAACTTGATACCTATCATTGAAAAATAGCTGCTAATTTTCAGTCCGTAAACAGCAATGATGATACAGCAAATGCCGTACATGAAGGACAGTAGAATTACAAGAGCAATTATGTTTTCATGGATCCTTCATACAGTCCAGGATGAGGTTTATAATAAAAATAATTTGAAATCTATACTGATGACCATCATTACTCACAATGTTTTCTATTTATCTACGGCGACCTGAAGTCGGAAGCGAAATTAGTACAATATTTGCAGTTACTGCTTTTGGTAAAAGAATGTCGCGGTAATGCTAACCATGGCGTGATGTTATGGACACTACAAAAATAAGGGGACGTTATTATTATTCTCTTGCTTTGTATGGTATTCCGGAAATTTCTGGAAGCATATTCAAATCCCTCTGTGCAAAGGTTGCTAAGAATTCCTACACTGAAAAGTAATGTAACTGGGAATGAAGTAGCTTATATAGGGATAACAACATAAGCATAATTACTTACACATATCTGAACATTAACTTAATAACACATTGAGAATTTTAAGTTAACTTTTCTTTTTAAATATATACAGTATTTTCCTGGATACTAAAAACCAAAGTATGTTACTTTGCACTCAAATCGAAATTCTTATACCTTAAACTAAATTTACTTTCGAATTTTTGTTTTCCCTTTATTCTGGTTTAATCATAATGGGAAAAAAAGACAGAGAAATGAAGGCAGAAAGAAAAATTATCTTTATTTCTGAGAGCTGGAGCGGATAGATAGCATAAAATTCACTTTTCATTTTATTTTAATCGAAAATGTGTTTCTTTAAAACAGAACTCTTGTTTTTGAAACTCTCAACAGATTCTGAAAGGTATTACAACATAGTGCAATACAAAGTAGAATTTCGACCAACAGCACACAAAAAATAATAAAATAAATAATAATAAAATCTAACTTAAAATTATTATTTAAAAAATGTGTAAACCACATGACTTCCTTGTACGGAATATTAAATTACACGATTTTTTCCTGCATTTCATTTAAAGTTTTTGAATAGAATTAAATCTAGTTTGTATAAAACCACAAGAGAACAAATGCACTCTTTAAAAATCATTATATTTATTCTGAGGTCCACTTAACAGCATTACGTCTCATTCATTTTATAACTCAGAATGCACAAAAATTATATCATTTGAAGAATTACGTATCTAATCGTTGCCACATGTACTATTCAAATAGTATAAAAAATCTAAAACGATGTATAAAAGGAATTAAATATAAAAAAGAAACAGTTTTTCACAGATGATTCAGCACCGCTTACATAATGCGCATGCGTTACTCGTAAACATTCTCATCTATCCGAGACGGACTGGCGACAATATTTGCTACTAATACGAAACGCTTATTTCATTGTATTTCATTACAGATATATTTCTCATTCAATTAATTCAGTTCTCGCTTCGCGGAAAGGCTGAAATATATAAAACCTCAAAATATCTTCATCAAAAACTGAAAAATATAGAAAAAAATATAAAACACCAAATACAGTTAAAACAATCTAAAAAACAAATTTTACAATTAAACGTTGCTACGCAAAAACAAGCAATTCGGCCAGCAGGCAACAGGCCAGATTTTTCGTTGCACAAAAATGTAAGTCTAATTTTGGTCCCACTCGACAAAAAGACACTGAATGTGCAGAAAATTTATTCAATATTCTGCTAAGTTTCAAATGTAAAAAAAATATGGCTGCTATGGTAAACAAAAATTAGGCCTTAGACGCACTTAAACAACATTTACATTGTTCATAATTCTACTACCATTGCATGCATATTAATCAAAGGTATAAAAAAACTTAACTGGAAGATAAAAACACCATATTTCAATCATTTTTAAAGAAAAAAAAATGCTAATTTACCAACACATAAGAGTAAAAAAATTTTATGTGTACACCACATGACTTCCTTCTATGGAATATTAAATTATACGCATTTTTTTCTGCATTTCGTTTAAACTTATTTTCCCGAATTCCAATAGATATAGTATATTTCTCATTCGCACAATTCAGTTCTCACTTCATGACAAGGCACAAATACATGAAACCTCAAAATATCTTTATTAAAAATTGAAAAATATAAAGCATAAATACAGTTAGAGCAATTTAAAAGAACAGTTTTTACAATTAAAATTACGGTTTCTACGCAAAAACAAGCCATTCGGCCAGCGGGCACGAAGGCAGATTTTTCTACGCACAGTCTCATTCGGCAAAAAGACACTGAAGGCGTAGAAACTGACTAAATTTGTTTTGGACGCTATGCTGGGTCAATATATGAGATAATTTAATAACTTAAATGATAATTCCAGAATGGATTAAGCGTGGTTTAATTCGCAATAATAAAAGAAGACGTTATTTTTGTTGATGCGAAACTTAGTTTCTCCAGATTCGCAACAAGTCCACCATTCTGCTAAGTTTCAGATGTAAACAAATATGGCTGCTGTGGTAAAAAATTATGCTTAGCCCTATTTAAACAACTTTTAAATTCCTGATAATTCTACAACTACTGCGTGGAAGCTGACTAAAGTCATAAAAACCTTAACAGGAAGGTTAAGAACAACAAAATTCAATCATTTTTAAAACAAAAAATGCACAATTTTCCAGCATATAAGAATAAAAAACTGAACTCAATGAACCGAGTAATAGAGTGAGTATACATATATATTTAAATACTTTTGATGCGGCCGATTGCCACCAAAAAGAGAGGTGCACAACTCAGTCCTATATACAAAATTTCAACGTTCTTGTTTTTGAGTTATGCGAGATACATACATACATACGTACGCATGTACACTGCTCAAAAAAAAAAAAAAAAAAAAAAAAATTGGGACAGTCCTATATCTCCCGATCTACTGGGCCGATTGACAAAATTCAAATTGCGTTCTTCATGTCTCGAAAGCGTGACTTAGGATATATATTAGATTTATATATAGCACTATTCTAACATAGGTATTTTGACACAAAATCGGACTTTTTCTGAAATAATATACCAATTTTTTTACATATTTCGATTCTACGACTCGAATTACGCTAAATATGAAATTTTGTAAAATTTGGAGCGAAATTTACGGAGAAATTCGAATTTCATTTTAATTGTTTAAGTTGCACGTTTTTTTTTTCGAATAACTGTTTTAAAAATTTCTATTTACCTATTCGAACTGCGTAAATAAAGGTGCAGCGTTTATTTATTTATTTTTTTTTCAAATAGTTTTTTCTTTATATATATTTTTCGTCATAGCTATTATTTTAGGTCATTTTTAAATTTTTATACTTTTATTTTAATTTTTGTGTTGCATTGTCTCTTCAGATAATTGTTTTAAAATTTTCTATTTATTCCTTCGAACTGAGCATTTTAAATATATTTATTAATATAAATTTTCCAGAATTTGATTTTATTTATTTGAACTGCGTTTCTTTCGGAAGAATACTTTGTAACCCAGACTACGATGAGTTTGAAAACTGCATACTATATTAAAAGAGAAAATACAGTAAAGCACAGTTTTACACGCCTTTCAATGTTCCGTTCAGAAAAGATATACATAAATAAGAGAGATGTATAACCGACATTTTAACTTAGGATGACTTGCATACACTGCTTTAAACAGTTTTATCATTGTGC